CTCTGTCTTCCAAGTTCAAGCAATTCTTCTGCCTCAGACTCCCAAGTAGCTGGGGTTACAGGCGCCTGCCACCATGCTCAGCTAATTTTTGTATTTTTAGTAGAAACGGGGTTTTGCATGTTGGCCAGGCTGGTCTCGAACTCCTGACCTGAAATGATCCACCTGCCTTGGTCTCCCAAAGTGTTGGGATCGCAGGTATGAGCCACTGGGCCCGGCCTCACTGGATGCTCTTGAACGTGAAATGAAATGCTTTGGCCAGGAATGATAAATGTCACTTCTGCTCATAATCTATTGGCCAGAGCTAGTCATGTGACTGCCTAATTGCAAAGAGGCAGAGAAGTATTATCCTCCAATATGCCCAGAAGTACAGACTAAGTGGATGTGGGTGAGTGCTAGAAAATGCCACCACATATATATGTATGTATACACTAGATCATAGTAAATTACGTTTCTTGTTGTGGGTCACAGCAAAAAATAGTTGAGAAACTGCTATCCTGCTTCCCTCTCCTGCTCTCACCTCATCCTTCAATCCAAATTGGTGCATAGAGCTTACCAGACCTGCATTCAGAGGCCACTTGCTTATCTCTGTGAACTCGGTTGGGTCACCTAACCTCTCTGAGTTTCATTCCCTTCAGGGGTAAAGGAGGGAAATAACATCTGTCTTACAAGATTGTGGTGATTTTTTTTTTTTTTTTTTGAGATGGAGTCTCGCTCTGTCGCCCAGGCTGGAGTCCAGTGGCACGATCTCGGCTCACTGCAAGCTCCGCCTCCTAGGTTCAAGCAATTATCCTGCCTCAGCCTCCCAAGTAGCTGGGATTACAGGCATGCGCCCCCATGCCCGGCTAATTTTGTATGAGTAGAGACGGGGTTTTTCCATGTTGGTCAGGTTGGTGTCAAACTCCAGAACTCAGGTGAGTCATCTGCCTTGGCCTCCCAAAGTGCCGGGATTACAGGCGTGAGCCACCGTGCCCGGCCAGCCCATGATAAGTCTTAAGAGGTATGGTATTGTAAGTGCATATCCCTGGGCTTGACTCTATGTTGCTTTTAGACAGTAGACATCGGGCTGGTGCGATGGCTCATGCCTGGAATCCCAGCACTTTGGGAGGCCGAGGTGGGCGGATTATGAGGTCAAGAGATGGAGACCATCCTGACCAACATGGTGAAACCCTGTCTCTACTAAAAATACAAAAATTAGCTGGGCGTGATGGCACGCCCCTGTAGTCCCAGTTACTCAGGAGGCAGGAGAATCACTTGAACCTGGAAGGCAGAGGTTGCAGTGAGCTGAGATTGTGCCACTGCACTCCAGTCTGGCGACAGAGGGAGACTCCGTCTGGGGGAAAAAAAAAAGAGAGAGAGAGACAGTAGAAATCATCACTATTCTGACAAGCGGAAGTCTTCCATTTCTGCGGGCACACGGTCTGTTTCGTAACTCCCTGCCTTTGCATATACATGTTCCCTCACCTGGAGTGCCCTTCTGCCTCTCATCTGTCTGTTAAATGCCTTATCCTTCAATGCTCAGTTCATGTTCTTCCTCTAGGAACTACTAGCTAACTCAGAGAAGCAGACATGATACAATGTAATGAATAATGAGCATGTATCCTGGATTTAGCAGACAGACATGGTTTGAATCCCAGCTGTGCCACTTCAACAGCTGTGACAAGCATGTGACTAGCATGTTACTTAACATCTGTTTTCTTACTTGGGAAATAGGTGTAATATGAGTACCTACTTCACAGAATTGTTCTGAGAATGAAAAGAGAAAATGCCTGAGAAGTGTTAAACTCAATGTCTAGCCCATAAGTACTCATTACACCCTTCTTTGGGCCAGTCTTGTACCTAATACCTCCCTCTACTATAGTTTCTAACTGTGCTGCCGTTATTTGTTTGATGACATGCCTCTACTGGACTGTGTACTTGTTGAACACTGTCCTAGAGTGCAGCAATAATAGCTAGCTTTTTTGCACATTTACCAAATAATTTCAAGAATTATGCAAACATTTTATATATATTATTTCATTTAATATTGATTGGAAACGACAGGATCCTGCTTAACACAAACTCAGCAGCTTAAAAAAATAAAATAAAAAAAAACTATCCTGGCGGGGCGCAGTGAGTCACACCTGTAATCCCAGCACTTTGGGAGGCCAAGGTGGGTGGATCACCTGAGGTCAGGCATTCAAGACCAGCCTGGCCAACATGGTAAAACCCTGTCTCTACTAAAATGACAAAACTTAGCTGGGTGTGGTGGTGCATGCCTGTAGTTCCAGCTACTCAGGAGGCTGAGGCAGGAGAACCGCTTGAACCTGGGAGGCAGAGGTTGCAGTGAGCCAAGATCGGGCCACTGCACCTTGGCCTGGGCGACAGAGCAAGACTCTGTCTCAAAAAAACAAAAAACAGGTCGGGCACAGTGGTTCACGCCTGTGATCCCAGCACTTTGGATGGCTGAGGTGGGTGGATCAACTGAGGTCAGGAGTTTGAGACCATCCTGGCCAACATGGCGAAACCCTGTCTCTACTAAAAATACAATAATTAGCTCGGTGTGGTGGCATGCACCTCTAATCCCAGCTACTTGGGAGGCTGAGGCAGGAGAATCACTTGAACCTGGGAGGCGGGGGTTGCAGTGAGCCGAGACTGCGCCACTGCACTCCAGCCTGGGTGAGGGAGGAAGACTGTGGCTCAAAAAAAAAAAAAAAAAGCAGCAAACAACTAATTATTAGAGAAATGCAAATCAAAATCAAAATGAGATACCACTTCACACTCATTAGGATGGCTACTATATTTTAAAAACCAAAAAAACAAGAAACGTGTCAGTGGGTTTGGAAAGAAGGCGTGAAGAGATCAAACATCAAAAACAGCAAGAGAGTGCAACAGGATTTAGAATCAATAAGAGAAGATTTTAAAGAGAGGAGCCAAGGACAGTCAAGGATTTCCAGCCTAGAAGGATATGGCCATTTACAGAAATAGGGAGATAAGAGGAGGAATTAGTATGAGGAAAAATGACACATTTAGTTTTAGACATTTAGTTTTTTTTATTACTCAAGGGTGTTTCCTAAAAAACAACAACAAAAAGACATTTCGAGTTTTTGTTGTTGGTGGTGTTGTTGAGACGGAGTCACGCTCTGTGTGCCCAGGCTGGAGTGCAGTGGCACGATCTCAGCTCACTGCAAGCTCCATCTCCCGGGTTCACACCATTCTCCTGCCTCAGCCTCCTGAGTAGCTGGGACTACAGGCGCCCACCACCACGCCCAGCTAATTTTTGTATTTTTAGTAGAGACGGGGTTTCACCGTGTTAGCCAGGATGGTCTCGATCTTCTGACCTTGCAATCCGCCCGCCTCGGCCTCCCAAAGTGCTGGGATTACGGGCGTGAGCCATCGCGCCTGGTCGATAACTTATATTTTTCAAACTAGAAAACAAGTAGGTGCAGGATGGGCCATGGAGACAGCCCGCATTAAAGGTTGTGGGAAGATAATAGAAGAGTCAGTGATGGGGGCAGAAAGGGAAGGTTTGAGGAAGCAACTGTAGAGTCTAGAGAAGCCAAGCAGAATTTGAGGAAGAGGAGGCGGCCCAGAAACTAGTGATGGAGAAAACATGGAAAGGGCTATTGTATTTGGTGAGCTCCTTTGGAACCTTAGAGAACAAAGGTGTTACCGAAGTACATGCTCTCAAATTCACACTAAGCACTAAATTCCCGCCGCTATGGGACATTCTGGTTAAGGAAAAACAGCGCAGTCCGGACCCAAGAAAGCTCACAGCGTGGCGGAGGAAGTGAGAAGTGAGTGAATAATTAAGCTACAGTGTTGATTCTGTCTTCCCTGGCAGCAAGAAAAAAAACCAAACAAACAATGTTTAAGTGCTTTGGCCTGGCACGGTGGCTTACGCCTGTAATACCAGCACTTTGGGAGGCCGAGGTGGGTGGATCATGAGGTCAGGATTTCAAGACCAGCCTGGCCAACATGGCGAAACCCTGTCTTTACTAAAAGTACAAAAATTAGCTGGGTGTGGTGGCACACACCTGTAATCCCAGCTACTCGGGAGGCTGAGGCAGGAGAATTGTTCCAATCCAGGAGTCGGAGGTTGCAGATCGCGCCACTGCACTTCAGCCTGGGCGACAGAGTGAGGCTCCACCGTCTCAAAAAAAAAAAAAAAAAAAAAAAGAAAGAAAAAAAAAGAAAAAAGAAAGTGCTTTACCAGAGGTGTGCACAAAGGTACAAACAGATGCCCTGAGGAACTGGCGACCCTGTGGGGCAGGACTGGGGAAGGGCTGGTAGGAGGTGCTGCTGTCCAGGTGCATGGTGGGTCCTCAAGAATTCATGGGGGCAATTCCAGCAGAACCGGCCTCTTGAGGCCTCAGGTAGTTCTTGTGGAGACTGAGGGGACAGATAAGGAAAGAAGGGATACAGACGCCAAGTGGGGGCGCAGGTGCGTTAGCAATAACTGGGTTCTATAGGAGGCGGGGCGCGGTGGCTCACGCCTGTAATCTCAGCACTTTGGGAGGCTAAGGCGGGTGGATCACGAGGTCAGGTGATCGAGATCATCCTGGCCAACATGGTGAAACCCCGCCTCTACTAAAAATAAAAAAATTAGCCGGGCTTGATGGCGTACATCTGTAATCCCAACTACTCGGGAGGTTGAGGCAGGAGAATCGCTCGAACCCGGGAGGCGGAAGTTGTAGTGAGCCGAGACGGTGCCACTGCACTCAGCCTAGCGACAGAGACTCCGTCTCAAAAAAAAAAAAGACGCAGAGATAGAGTTGCCTTCTGAAAGGATACAGAAAGGAGAGGCGAAAAACTTATCCGAATCCTCACTACTTCCTTACAACTGGCGACCAAGTGGACCAAAAACCTCCAAAAACCTCAGTTGGCTGGGCTACCGGGTCCTTGCTATCCTTCCTGGGCTTCTGTACCCGGCCGGAACTTTAGTGTTCTGACGCCTTGTTTGGCATCGGAAGGGAAAAACAGATGGACCTGTAAGTGAAAAGTGGCTTCTGGTTGGAAGCCACACTATAGGCTCGGGGAGGTAAGCGGTGGTAGGTCGGCGTTTGATGTGTCCCGGGTGTGGGGAGGCGACAGAGCCCTGGCAGTTGAGGGTTGCGGGGCCTCCCCACCGCGGCGAAGGTCTAGCCTTCGGAGGCCAGGCCGTGAGTGCCGGAGGTAAACGCCAAGGCGGAAGAGTTTTGCCACTCACTACCTCAGTGACCTCGGGTAAATTAGTCTTGGAACGTCGGTTTTCTCGTCTCCATGATTGAAATAATAATAGTTCCTCTCTAAGGATTGTTGTGAGCCGTCAGTGAAACACTTAGAGCAGTTTCTGGCACATGGTAAGCCATGAATAGCTTTACTAATTCGACTCACTTCTAGCTGCGTGGATTATGTTGTCAAAACCCACCGTCAACCTCAGGGCGGTATTGTTCAGTTAATAGGTTCGATTTTCTATTTACTGGTAGAAAAAAAAAATGAAACAAAGCATGTATAATTAAAGTTATATTACTAGAGAAATAACACTACGGAGGGTTTGCAAAATATTTTATGAGCTATCATTTGTTTCTAAAATTTCTGTATGTGTAGAGGTAAATAATTTTGTAACTTAAATGTGTAAATCATTTAAGTGCAACCGGCGCGGGGGAATTTAAATATTATCCATAATTGCAGGACCTCAGATCAACTGTTAATTTTTCCTGGTTCCTTTACGTTTATAATACATGTGAAAACATACTGTTTACATGGTTTTGATTTATTAGCAAACCTTATTGATAATGTCGGCTGGGCGCGGTGGCTCATGCCTGTAATCCCAGCACTTTGGGAGGCCAAGGTGGGCGGATCACTTGAGGTCAGGAGTTCGAGACCAGCTTGGCCAACATGGTGAAACCCTGTCTCTACTAAAAATACAAAAATTAGCTGGGTGTGGTGGCACACACCTGTAATCCCAGCTACTCGGGAGGCTGAGGCAGGAGAATTGTTCCAATCCAGGAGTCGGAGGTTGCAGATCGCGCCACTGCACTTCAGCCTGGGCGACAGAGTGAGGCTCCACCGTCTCAAAAAAAAAAAAAAAAAAAAAGAAAGAAAAAAAAAGAAAAAAGAAAGTGCTTTACCAGAGGTGTGCACAAAGGTACAAACAGATGCCCTGAGGAACTGGCGACCCTGTGGGGCAGGACTGGGGAAGGGCTGGTAGGAGGTGCTGCTGTCCAGGTGCATGGTGGGTCCTCAAGAATTCATGGGGGCAATTCCAGCAGAACCGGCCTCTTGAGGCCTCAGGTAGTTCTTGTGGAGACTGAGGGGACAGATAAGGAAAGAAGGGATACAGACGCCAAGTGGGGGCGCAGGTGCGTTAGCAATAACTGGGTTCTATAGGAGGCGGGGCGCGGTGGCTCACGCCTGTAATCTCAGCACTTTGGGAGGCTAAGGCGGGTGGATCACGAGGTCAGGTGATCGAGATCATCCTGGCCAACATGGTGAAACCCCGCCTCTACTAAAAATAAAAAAATTAGCCGGGCTTGATGGCGTACATCTGTAATCCCAACTACTCGGGAGGTTGAGGCAGGAGAATCGCTCGAACCCGGGAGGCGGAAGTTGTAGTGAGCCGAGACGGTGCCACTGCACTCAGCCTAGCGACAGAGACTCCGTCTCAAAAAAAAAAAAGACGCAGAGATAGTGGCTTATGCCTGTAATCCAAACTACTCGGGAGGTTGAGGCAGGAGAATCGCTTGAACCTGGGAGGCGGAGGTTGCAGTGAGCCAAGATCACGCCATTGTACTCCAGCCCTGAGCGACAGAGACTCCGTCTCAAAAAAAAAAAAAGACGCAGAGATAGAGTTGCCTTCTGAAAGGATACAGAAAGGAGAGGCGAAAAACTTATCCGAATCCTCACTACTTCCTTACAAC